ATTCTTCAGTTGTTTCCGTGTTTTTCAAATCATGGAAGCATTTTTGTTCAGTGAAACTCTCAATGACATCTAGCAGTGGTCAGTACCTAGTCATTGTTAGTTGGAAGGTATCTACTTCCTCTATTTTTAGGGCAATCTTCTACTAGTTTCAATATATTTCTCCTTCATCCTCATCCAGGGTCGTGTGCATTGGGTGCTGCGCAGCATATTTACACATTAAATCGTGGCAATACCCCGGCAAAGGTTTTTTTTTTTTGAAATGGCTAACCAATTTTTTGGGATTTGGAGGAACAGTTTTTTGTTTAAGATCGTAAGCTGCGCATTCTCAACTGACAATCGATTTGTTGGCTTAGCAACGAACCATGGAACGACACATCTGTTTGCAATCTGTCCTTACGGTGGTCCAGTTAGTATGCGCACTCATGGTGATAAATTAGTGAACAAAGAATCTAGGTAAAAGGTTTTTTCCCCCAGATGACGTTGTTTAAAATAATTTTTCACCCAGTGTCTGTCAATCTTGACGTCAAAGGTCTCGATTTGGCCGAGGATTTATTGAATGCTTTTGCACTGAATTTAATGCATCATATTATAGTGCAAATAGTCTGTACCATTTAATGGTAACAGTGGTTAGTAAGTGAAAAACAGAACGCTGTAGTAAACAGCAGGGGACAGGCAACTCAGCAGATCTCATGTCTTACGAACGAAAAGTGCAAAAAGTGCAAAATCTCAGAGTGTTATTTGTAAAAGCAAAAAAAAATTTTATTCAAGAAGATTGTAAATATTATCGCTATTTAGCAATCACTTTGGTTCCTCAAATGTGTACTTGTCCTGTTTTAGTGCGAGCCAAAAGATAAAAACTGCTTCGTACAGTTGCTGAGTGACTGAGAAAAAAAGCAAGATGAGTAAAGGTTTCATGTGGTGCTTAACAATAGTAGGATGAATAGGATAATTTTTTGAAGTCGCTTCTTAGAATAAGTTTGAGTGATTTACACTTGTTGTTTCAGTCGTAGAAAAGGGCTGAAATGGTCAATTTAACATAAATTTTTTTTTAATGGAACCGAAATTTCAGATTATTCCGAAATTTAAGCCCATTCAACTAGAGAAGGGCATCAAGATTAAATATTGCCTCTAATTTTCCTTAAAAGTGCTTTAAATAAATATTGGCATTCCCAGCTTTCTAATAGTGAGGACATAACTTTCAATAAACTATACGATGTTAAGGCTCACACGCGTTTTTTTCGACCTCAGTTTTGTTTCAGAAGATGCCATTTTTAGATATCATCGTTCTGCTGGATTGGACAACTTTGACATTGTTCCCGTTACAGAGCCAATTGATTACAGAACTTACCAGTTTGGCGCTCCACAGATTTACAAGTTTGTTTTCATCTATACAACTTTCAACTTTTTTATCGCCACGTTTTTTTATGTCTTCATTAAATGACACCATCTGCTAAAATGTTTGTGTTCACTTTTGAAAAGGAGTATTTTGTGGGAAGATACAACAAAAAGGATTTTTCTTTTTTTTTTTCTTTTATTTGCATGGACAACCATTACTCATACGTATCATTGAAAGTTGCTAAAGGTTGTCAGTTTAGAGATCATCCTTCATTGATTCGGCCCTCAATAGCTCGCTCAGCTCGTAATCCTCGGATTGGGCCTTATACTAGGCCTCTTGGTTTAACAGCAAGTGCGAAATTAAGGGTAAATTTACGGAAGTCATGAACTCTGTTGAGTGGTTGTATCATTTTTTGTGAAATACTCGTGAACAATGACTTGTTTCTCACCTAATCAGCTGTATGTTGTGGCATTGGCTAGATAATTGAAGTTTTTTAACCCTTCAGTGATATTTCTCAAACGCCTTATGGCATCTTCTAAGTGCACTTGTTTTTTAAATCATAAATCTGTCTCAGATAGTTGCGAAATCTGAAAGTTTTTTTGAAACATTAAGTTATGTGTTTTATGAAGCATTGTATCGTTTGAGAGTTGCAACGGGGTGTATTATTTTCTATTTAGCTCTACTTTTACTTTTTTTAGTCACGGGTTTCATTCTACCGCACGGAGCTCACAAATTTGTTTTGGTTTTTTTTCTTCAATTTTACTTGGATAATCTTAGGCCTTTACTTAACTTTCCATCCTTTAGTCGTTACAGTAGAAGAATAAATAGTATTTTTTCAGGACTCATTATCAGTTGATAATCTCAGTGCGTGGGCGAGCGATATAGCAGCACCTCTAACTACTGGGAGAAAAAGAACTACTTCGGGCTCTAAAAACGATGAACCAAAAAAATTATCTGTCATTTTTTATACTACGTTGTTCTTCTTGTCTTATTGCTCTTTTTTCCTTCAATTGCGTATATCTCCTTTTTTTTGTTGCTATTTGTCTTATCGATGATCTTCTTACAGGTAATTTTTGCCTCAAATTCAATTTACTCTGATAAACCAACGCTTTTGGTAGCTGGTACAGATGGATTGATCACTGAATACGTCATCGACGTTGTCCCAAAAGAAATTCCCTCTGCCCCAGATTTAGATGTGTCAGCGATTGCACACACTTCGTCAAATTGGCAAGTACCCATCAAGTGCCGTTTACATGGATTTATGTTTTGGCAACTTCAGAGGTCGGCTTTTTCGTATTTGTCTTTTGAAATTTTATGAAGACTGTTTGTCTAATTACTTTTCAATGCGTTAGTGACAGATAGATATGTTGCCGAATTTAGGGGGCCTGTTTCCGATATGCGATTACCTCTTTCTGATCATAATCCATTTTTGCTTTGGCTGAAGAATGCTTCATTTAACATCAGAAAGGAAAGTTCCGAAGAGAAGGCAGAAGCATGGATGAGTCAGGTTACTGATTTTATGATCTCTATCAGGTCTCCATGTTCAATGCGGATGGCTGGAGACAATAACAGACGGCAATGTTGTACCGTAAAGTTATTGTACAACTGAAGAGGGTTTTGATCTCGAGACAGTTGGCGCCATTCACTTACAAATCTAATATGCTGTTCTTTTTCAGCTAAATTAATGGGGGTTTCAATGACTTTGCTGTTTCAGATTGAAGTCTTTACCTATTCAGAACCCTACCGTCGGCTTTGGAAACTCCCGCAATTCCAGTTTACAACTTTGAAATCTGATTGCCAAACATCTAATTTGGTTTGATTTTGTTTAGCTCATTTTTTGGTAGACTTTTGGTTAGGAAATCAAATTTTAAGTTTAGTCTTTAAGCATTTTTCTGTTTGATGCGACATTTTCGACCCGTTATTTTGGTCGAGTAGTGTTCAAAGTATTATAGGTGGCGCCAAGCAGAGCCAAAACTAAGAGGAACATTAAAACGGTACCGGTTGTTATTGAGGCACGTGGTTCAGTCAGCAAAAGTTGCGAGATTTATCAACCAAGTTGTGGTAAGTTTTTTGCTTTGATAACAAAAAAATACTTTCATTGTTTGCTGCACTAATAACTGATTGAGTTCAAAATTAAGATCCTTAAATCTTTTGATAGACTTAAACAAATGAAAATTCTATGAGTAGTGCTAAACTCTACAGTTTTGCAATTTTTTCTAAGGCATGGAGTTCATTACAGAAAAAATGTGCGGGTTAATTCTGCATACTTTTATTTGAAAAATACAACTTTTAAATTTGTTGCTTGTGCAGGTTCGTGTCACGCATTTATGAGAATCGAAAAGAGACTTTATAGCAGGAGATCTCTCACCTTATTATTACTAAAAGTATTCAGGGATATAGGCTTTTCCGCACTAGACCACACATTTCTTCCACCTGATGCCTCATAATTTTTTTAAATTTCGCTGGTTGGTAGATTTTGGACCTGTATGTAAAAGTTCAGGAAATTTGGGAAGTGAACTTTTTTTCAAATTTTGGCTTCTTCGATTTGTAATCAGCTTGAGATACTTCTCTTCTCGAACATGTAGTTTGGCTCCATTTTGATAAGATTCGGGATTACGGTTATTTATTTTTATGAATCAGGCAGGTAGCCGCAGGAAAACAAAATTTTAAAAAACGCGGAAGCTTGTCTTCGTAGAATTTTTCTTTGTGAGGTCATAATTCAGTGATGTATTTTAACGAAGTCGAGAGTTATGCATTGAGACATCTTGATATCACAGTAAACGCGTACATTGTTCAGCGGTGAAATCATCATTTATTATTTCTAAAAGTTAAGAGAGTCGTCGTCAAAGTCTAGTGTTTTCCAACTAATGAGGATTTGTTGTAAAAAAATATACTCAAAAATTTTTATTAATTATTACTGCGCTATTCTGTAACGAGTTGCCTGTGCTTCAGCTTCTGCTTCCTATATATTGTGCTAACCTGCTGCGACCAGAGATATGCATTTAGTTTGAAGGGGCAAATGATAATGATAAATGCGATGCCATATTCGGTAAACACTGGTTTTTTTTTTCGAACAGAGGTTGCATGAATATATTTTGAAGGTAGTTCTTCGACCTTTATTTATTTTTGCAGTAGTAACTGTTTTTTGTCCCTCTTGAACATGGCCTTGGCAGTTTAACTATTGGTACGCCGCCTAAAACGTTTTTCCCAAAAGAAATGCGACGTGGAAAAAAGTTACTTTTTTGATACGGAAGTCTTGCAGTGTAAGGGTAAGAAGAATCTCCAGCGTCATGTCCTGCAAGATTAGATTCGATGTTGTAGCAGAATGGCTTTTTTGTGTTGTTTCGCGGAGACTACGCGACGGTATTAAAGGTGCTTGGACAAGGTTCCTAGCTAGAATCATCTTTTAGAGGATGTCTTCTGGTCAAATGTTAATGTCTTAGCATTTACATTGCTATGCTCGATAGAATTTGTATCATAGTAACGTACCTTTTTCGTCAATCGCAGACTATGGAACGGGGAGAACGTTGTTATTGTCAGGGTTTAGGAAGACTTCCTGGCCAAGTGGTTTCCAAGAAATCCGTGTCAATGTTACATCAACGACTGAAGAATTCCTCGCGATACAGTGCTTTCCGTCGTCTTCAACGTGCGATCATAGGATGTGCAAAGCAAAAAGAAGTTTTTTGAATAGAGGTGTTTCGATATAGGTCCACAGAAGAATAATTTACAGATATAGTAAAACAAATTTTCAGAGATAAACTTTTTGAGTTGAAATGTAATTAAAACAAGCGGCGTCCCTCCATTTTCAGAAGCAGCAGATGGAGATTATGCTGCTACAGAATATTCCCAATTATTTTAACGAAATCGAGCTATGGCTAGTCTCATTTCAGTTTTCAGATTAACTCTCAGCCTTTCGAGAGGCACATAATCAAACTGTGGTGCTTTGAAGCAAAAAATTCTACAGAAAATGCTTACTGGCATGGGACGGCTTATCTATATAAATATTGGCTTAGCCTACGATTATCTGTTGAATACGGTCAAGGCCCTCTCTTTGTCACTTCAGCAAACTTTAAGTATTTTAGAGCGGAAACTGTCTTGAGGAGGACAAACCTCTGTTTCCTAACTCCTCTTTACATCTTATAAACTTTATGCTGTTTCCTACGGCATTAGATTTCTATTTTCATTCTGATTTCAAGAGTGGAAACTGAATGGTATTTGAAACTACTCGGGTACCAATCGTTTGTTGTGAATAGAAAGTTTGAATCATTATGCTGGCTGTCGTTATTGTTTTAACACGGCTTGTTGTTTTGGAATTTTTCTCCCGCTACCTTTATTCTTTGGCAGGGACATAGATCGAACGGAAGATTATATGCGTAGAACACTAAGATTTAGCGAAGAGGAAGGGGGGCGGTAATGCAGTAAATTGAAAAAGAGGTTGGGTTTTTGTCGTAGATTATTTCTACACGTCTTTTGTTGATGTACCGATGTACACTATGAGAAAATTGATGTTGTCTTACTTATATTAATAGTTGTTGGTGTAGGAAAAGACGAATCAGCAACTAATTCTTCTATGCTGGTTGATCATACAGCAAGGCGACAAAACCGGAAACTAGCTGGACATAAAAATAGTTTCAACTATCAGTCCCTCGTTTATATACTGTCTTCATGACCAGCTTAATGAAGTGATTTTCACTTTTTCCAGTTGCTATACTCTTACAGCAGCTCTTTTGATTTTAATCACTGCTTGCCACTTTGTCTTGGCCTATCGAGCGTGTTTGCAGACGGGAGGAGAGTGGGAAGGAGTAGGCAATGCTCACTTGATCTATGTTTGAAGTTTATAAACCAATCTGTGGTAGGTTTTTTTCTATGATAGAGAAGCATATTCGTTGTACTTTGCAGTGATATCTAGTTGAAGATTAAAATTAATATATTTTAGTGTTTCATTAGACTTGAAAAAATAAGGTAGTGTCTTTATCTTGAACCCACTTATCAAATTTTCTGTTGGTGCATTAACGTATTTTTTAATTATTGCTTTAAAGACCACGAAATGTGTCTTTTATTCCTAATCTAGCTCTTTGAGTTTGTATTCGCGTGTTTTACTTTTTTTTTTTTTGTATTTGGAACATGCATAATAGACTTTCAAAAAATCTTTTCAAAGTTGTGGCACCAGTTTTGGGAGAACTTTTTATTTTTTGAATTACTGGATTGGAAAAACTGAAACATTCAAATCGCTGTATGTGAAGTAAAAATGTTGTTTATAGTCAGGAGAGAGAATGACGTTTTTGCTGAAGCCTCTGTGCAGATTAGTGATTGGCTTTGAAATACTCAGGGCTGGGAACAGATGTTTTGTAGGAGTTTTGGTTGTCTGATACTTATATAGCGGATAAAGTTTGGTTATATTTTGCTGGTATATCGTATTTTTTCGCGCTGGACTCATAATTAATTTGCCATTTCTAGGTGAAGGAGGTAAGGAGGACTACGACGTGATGATCGAGACTTCAGGAGATGCGGTTAAAGAAGCGAAAGTTACACCTGCACCAAAGCTTGCAACGGTGAAGGTACGATTAGTTTGCTAAAGATTACTGAAGTTATTTTTTTTTTTAGTGCAGTTTTTCAAGTCTTTAGTGGTTGTGCCACTTTCGAACTTGGTTTTAACAGTCATATAACCTAAATAATGCTTAACTTCCACCAAATCTTTAGAAGAATTCGTTCGAATGTATTGGCTTTGATTCCTGTAGCTCGTCATCTAGCGAGAAGAACTCAAAGGGTAGCGGCGACTGTGGAAATATTGACCTTCCATTTGGCGCAATGGATCCATAGATTATTCTTTTAGCATAAGTGCTATAAAGAATAAATAGTTCAATACTACTTAAGATGATCAGTACCTATACTATGCTTTAATTCAAAAAAATAATCGGTGAGTAATTTTGCAGACCAATTGTCTTTCACTTGTTTAACTTTTAGTACATTCCGTGTCAATGCAAGTTATCTTTTTTCGTGTAAAACTTGTAAATTGGCGTGTGAAGAATACCGGATAGTCCTACAGTTTAGTGAATTGACCCAGTATTCTTATGTATAGTTCGCTCTCAATTTCTTACTCATTTTTTTCATATGACATAATCACCTCATTTTTTACTTTTTATATCTCCACTTGGGCGTCGACTTTTAATATTTGCATACGTGTAGCAAGTGTTTAACGAAAAGCTTTTTGTCACTTTAATAACTTTTGTATTTTTAAGGTGCTTGATATTTTAACGCATATCCATCTTCATGGCTGAGATGGTTTACAGATTTTAATCATGTGTTTGTAGGAGTTATTGTACAAATCCTTGTTTGCCTGTTCTATAATTGTATATTTGATTCGATGGCACTTTGGTGACAGTTATTCGTGCTTTCATTTGGTAGTGAATTTCTGAGTAACTTTTGAGTTAGAGTGGATTTCTTCATCACTTAGAAACCTGATTAATTTGTCCCCTGAATTAATGGCGAAGTTGTTTAGCATTTAGTCTTATATAGATGTTTCAGAGGGTATTTCTTTGATAATGTGTAATCTAAAATTGGAGTATACG